AATGCAGGCTTAAAAATGTCAAGATAATATGATATCTATATTGGTCTATTGCAGTGATGGCGAACCTTTTAGAGACAGATTGCCCAAAAACTGCCCCCACCCTCGTCCCTGCTCTGCCCTGCCCACTGGGCCACCCACCACCTCCACAGCCCGCCACAGATCATCCAGGCAGGCCAGCAGCGCCATGGCGGCCACGCCCTTCGCCTGTGCCCTGCAGTATCATCTGCACGCAATGGGGAGCAAAGGCGGTGTCTTGTCCCCACTGCCCAGCTACCATGTCCTTGGCTTCACTGCTTCGTGTGGGCCTTGCCCAGGGGCAACTCTCCTCTGGGGGGGGCTGGTGGTGAGGAGGGGGCCATGGGAGGAGGCGGGGCTGGGGACGGTGCATGTGCCCACAGAGAGGGCTCCGAGTGCCGCCTCTGGCACCTGTGCCACAGGTTCACCACCACTGGTCTATTGCATTGAAAGCAACAGTTTTGTGGCACTTAGACTAATACTTAGGAGAAACTTCAATAAGTATTTCTTATTGGAGTCCTGTATATAGTCACAAATGAAATGCCCATTAACAGCAGCTTGCTCAAGTCCTTAAGAGCTTGTATGCTTTATTTCATGATACAAGAATTATCCAATTTTTCTCAATAATTTTCCTGGGTGTTTTTTCGGGTGTTTAAGCATCTTGGGTTTCTTTCCCCCACTGCTCGGAGCTATAGGTATTTATTATTATTATTATTATTATTATTATTATTATTATTATTATTATTTTAATTTCTATACCGCCCTTCTCCCGCAGGACTCAGGGCGGTGCACAGCATATTAAAAACAGATACAATAACAATATACAAAAATAAAACCCTTCTAAAACCAAATTAAAAACCAAATATTAGAGGCTGTGTTCCAATTAAAATTATACTTANCTTCTCCCGCAGGACTCAGGGCGGTGCACAGCATATTAAAAACAGATACAATAACAATATACAAAAATAAAACCCTTCTAAAACCAAATTAAAAACCAAATATTAGAGGCTGTGTTCCAATTAAAATTATACTTAAAATCGTCCCTAAATAAAATCCTCCTTAGGTCAGGCCCGCTTGCTGGAAAAGCCATGTCTTGAATCTGAAACCTGCATGACTGCTATGTATTATAAATGAAAGTCTGTAGAAATGTTATTAATGAAATAAAATGGATTCCAAAACTATTTTAATCAAGAGAAAGAATGGAATGTTCATGGTAAGATTAATGCAACTAAAAGTGCAAAAATATCATCATAGTAATAAAATAGCACTGAAGTATAGTGGTTATTTATTCATAATTCCATACACGTGTGCAACCCCTCCCCCCACAAATGCTGAACATCTAGCAGCTTTAAATATAATTATTTTGACTAATAAGTTAAGTATTTTACTGAAGATCCAAACAGAATTGCTGAATATCTGAAACCCTATTATAGTTTCTTCTATCTGGAGTAGCAATAGCTCTTAGCAATAGCATTAAGACTTATATACCTTCACAGTGCTTTACATCCTTCTCTAAGAGGTTTATAGAGTCAGTTTATTGCCCCCAACAATCTGGGTCCTCATTTTACGACCTCAGAAGGATGGAAGGCTGAGCTGATGAGACTCGAACTGCCAAACTGGTGGCAGCCAGGAGTCAGCAGAAGTTGCTTGCAGTACTGCACTCTAACCACTGCGCCACCACAGTTCATGCACAAATATTATTTCTTACATTTAGTTCTTTGTATTCAACCTCTTCCTGGAAGAATCACTTTGAACGGCTCCTGGAAGAATCACTTCGTGAGCACTCCATCACTGGAGATTTTTAAGAAGAGACTAGATATTTACCTGTCTGAGACAGTATAGGTTCTCCTGCTTGAGCAGGGGGCTGAACTAGAAGACCTCCAAGGTCCCTTCCAGCTCTATTCTATTCTATTCTATTCTATTCTATTCTATTCTATTCTATTCTATTCTACTCTACTCTACTCTACTCTACTCCACTTTGTTGATAAAAAGTCATTTAATGATTTAGTTGGAAGAAAAAAAGATGCAAGAAAATATTTCAATTTTAAAGGGAATTTTTATTTATTGACCTGAAGAAAACCTTTTAACTATTGCAGATTTAACATAGGCATATGCATACATGTGCGTGCACGCATGCATACACACTAACATTTTAAAGCAACTATGTCAGGGTTAAAACCCTGTAACTCTAGTCAACTCTAATCAATCTTTTATAATAGATACATATACGATACTTATCACTGGTATTCTCATAATACTGTTCCAAGAAATATTCACACTTTTCACTTGAAGAGTGCCATGTATGGGACAATCTATTTAAGGGTAGTTGAATCCGGAATTTGATATCTTCTCAGGATATTTGAAACTTCAACAACTAATGTAGTCATGAGACTCAAGATGATTATGTTAGAAACTCAATGAATAATCCATGTGATGATATATTTGTTTCACACATGCTGGTCCTTGTTTTAGTTTCCACAGAGAAAGACTTCAATTAAATCTACAAATGCTGCTTAGAATCATACTTAGTGACATTTAGAAGCCTACACAAGTTGGCAGAACATGTTCAAAAATATTAATTGATCTTAACAGCAGCAACAACAAAAACCCTCTATGTGCTTAAATTAATGTAGGTCTCTTCACTAAAAGACAGCCAACCCAGCAGTTTTTTTCCAGAATGCTATCAGGCTGTAAGATTTTGCCTGCAGAGTCCAGCATCACTGTAAGCATAGATTTTTCTAACTGTACAGATATTGTGCATGTATAAAGTGTTCTAAGCTTAGAGTATCAATTTCAGATGTTCTGGGCTCAGAATAAAATGCATTTTCTGTCTAAACCTCAATAGATTCCCTGGCACAAAACTGGAAATCAAAAGGAAAAACAAATGAAATAGAAAGCTTACCCAAGCTAATAATAAACATAATATTCACAGAGCATTAACTTGTTTAACGACAACCATGGGATCATTTTTTATTTCCCCCTTTCTCCTTCATTTACAAATTATTTTACCATTGACTTGATGAATAAAATCATGGCTCAGTATCAGATTATCATGAAGATCAGTTAACAAAATAGGAGAGGGAGGGAGGGAGACAGAGAGAAGCTAGAATAGCCTGGAATTTTTTTGGGGGGGGGGGGGGGGAAGGAAAGCTACTATTTACTTTAATTTGGGAAACAACTGCTGTGGCATCAAGCCATCAATGATATGGTCAATCTTAAATAACTTGCAATGTAAGTTATTTAAAATTATTTAAATAGCATGCAAGATAAAATAATCAATAGAGAAAATAAAGGCTAACTAGAAGATGGAGAAAATTAAAAAAAAAATGCACAATCATAAAATGTCATTAAGGCAAGTACCAGGAAAACATGCTTTCAATATTACACAGCCAAAATACAAAATTTTGAAAGCCCTTTATTCAGTAAACTTCAATTATATCTTACGTAGTAAGAGGGCCTTAGAAAGGTATCTAATAAAGATATTATAGAGGGAGGATGCTTTACTTCTGAAGAGCTTTACAGATCATAAGCAATATTCTGAATTTAGCTCAGGAGACCATCTTATGCAGGTTTTTTATGTAGCACAGCTAGACAACCCATGATCCAATGGGTCATCCTTTTAGTGATATTCCCTTACCAATACAGAGAAACTTCTTTGGCACTAAAGGATATTATTTGGAAGATGCAGTTGAATTGATTTATGTTCTTCCTGAACATTTTTGCAATAGATGCATCATTGCTATATAAATTTGGGTGTTTATTAGATAGAGGTTGCAAACTGCCGATCTTAATCTTTCCCTTCATTCATCATTGATATATCAATTTAGGAGTTTATTAGACAGAGATTGCAAACTGCTTATCCTGATCTTTCCCTTCATATAGCAGAAATTGGCAGTTTCTCCAAGAATAGAAATGCATGACAGAGAGGGCAAACTTTGGCCACGGCAGTCCGAGTCTCATTGGCTCAAGGTTGACTCAGCCTTCCATCCTTCTGAGGTCGGTAAAATGAGGACNAATTTGTTTGAAAGGTTATTTTGGTTGCAAAGTTCTAATCAGATGGGTTGAAAAAAAGAGCTTGAGAATGGAACCACATGCTTCATAATGAAGAAAATGCACTCAGCAGATGCTCAGGGGCAAACCAATCAAATATTTTATGCCCTTTAATGCCAGAAACAGGTTCTCTTCTTCAGAACATTACAAACAAAACACTTTAACAATAGTCTGGGCTAGACTTGACTACAAGACTCTTTAGTTGCTGAAAGGAACATTCTGTGTACATAACAAGACAGCTTGGCCTAGAGGTTAAGTGCTGGCCTAGAAACCAGGAGTTGGTGAGTTCTAGTCCCACCTCAGGCAAGAAAACTGGCTGGGTGACTTTGGACCAGTCACTCTCTCTGTCCAGCCCACTTCACAGAGTTGTTGTTGTGAGGAAAATAAGAGGAAGGAGTATTAGGTATGTTTGCTGCCTTAAGTGATTTATAAAGTAATAAAGGCAGGATAAAAATCCAATAAATAAATAAATATATAAAAGGACTTTGATCCAACCTCTGTACAAGCTTAAGTGTGACATGATGTTGTACATTACAGCTTGCTGCACGTGCTTTTCTTGTAGAAAGTTCCAAATTAAATCCTTAATATTTCCTAGTAAGACAGGAAGAACTGGGAAAATAAAGTTCCCTAGACATTGGCAATATAGCATTAGCTAGGCCAGGAATAGATATAAATCATTTGCTTATGTATTATAAAAGAATATAATCATGATGAACAGTCAAACAAATACTGTACAAGGCAGGTAATCTAGATACTCAATTATGTAACCTTAGAATTATCCGTTGCTCTAATAATTTGTGAAATTTAAGTTGCATAGAATCAGCTGTATGGCTTTTGATGAAAAAGAATTCAGTTACAGATTTTTGAAAATTATTATCCCAGTAAATAATAAATGCATAATATAAACATAGGATATAGATTTTTGAAATGATAACCTGTAAGGGGTAAGGATGTTGAGTGGTGGTGGCTGTTCACATGTATTGTAAGTCTCCTGCAAAGGGATTGGAAGACTCTTGCGGTCAAAGAGCTGTTGATCTTGAGTTGTGGAACTTCGGAAAGCTTTTCTCATTGTTATATCTTGCAGTGAAACTGAAGAGAAGATAATTATTTGCACAGTTGGTGTGTTAAGCTCTAGTATTCAGAGAAGGTTATACTAAAGTTTGCACTTCATAAGAAAACAGGACATTGGAATTGTTAGGATCTGCTCATTAAAAATTAAGGCTGTGTAAACACATCTCTCCTAAAAGTATTAAAGCGGCCACATACTTTGGAAGGTCACTAGTCAGATGTCAAAGGCTTTACCTAATTGCTATGATATGTTCGTTCATTTCATTACATTGCAACCTTAACAGAAGTCTTGTGTGCATGTGCACAAAACAAATATTTGGGAAAGCCTTCTAAGCAGTTATGCCAAGTCTTTTAGAAGACCTGTCTTCTTTCATGCTTCAAGGAGAAAAATGTTAAACTCACAACAACATGCTTTTCAGAGCAATGCTTTGAATGTTTCTACATAGTCAACTACAATGACAATTATGATTCTGTAAAGTGGAGGAAAAGAGACAGTTTGGTGTTGTGGTTAAGGCGTTAGGCTAGAAATCAGCACAAAGCCAGTTGGGTGACCTTGGGGCAGTCACACTCTCTCAGCCCTGGCAAACCACTTCTGGAAAACCTTGCCAAGAAAACTATAAGAACTTGTCCAGACTCTCTCCAAGAATCAGACATGATTGAACAGAAGGAAAAAAGTGGATGATTTTGTGCTCATTGAGGCAATGATCATTCTGAAATTAGAACTACGGTAATATTACCATGACAAGAAACCATAAGCAACTGAAATTGGAAATAAACATCTTAACAATTGTAGAATACGCTGCTACAGATTCTTTGAATGTGGTTCTGAATTGGCTGAGTAGCTGTCACCACTTTATTATTTTTATGCAACACATTGTTAAAGTTTAGCATATAAGTTAGACTACTGGCATCAATAATTTTTCCCAAATTGTTTCCTCAAAGCTGATCAGAATTGATTCTTTATAATGGCGGACATTTTGCTAATGGAAGAAATCTTCAAAATGAATGGAAAAAAGCATATATGTGTTACAAGGTAATTTATCAATCATACACGTGTTTCTTGGATGTGGCTCACATCTAACATTGACTATAAATTCAGGTAGTTAACAAAATTGAATATACATTTCTGCTGCCTATAATTTATTTAATTGAATTTAATTAGTACTGTGTGCATTAATCTATAACTGCATGTTTTATGAAACTAAATTAAACGTATTAATTTATGTGATGGCAATTTTATGTTGGGCACTTGGTTTTATCTGATGCGAACTAGTAAACTGGGGTTCTTCAAACTGATGGTCCCTAAGCAGACCATGCTGGCTAGGTATGACAGAAGTTATAGTTCAACATATCCAAAAGAATATCATAGTGGAAATACTATGATAGCTGGTTGGACTAAATACTTTTAATACTTTCTATCTCTAAATTTATTGATTCTAAATCTATTAACTGAAATAGCCCATACATTTCAAAAAGAGAAGATGAATTAAAATAGTCCTGGCTTTGAATGAAGTTATGTAAGTTTGGTACTGGAAATCTTGGCACATGAATACTGCAAAATACTGTAAATGTTTTTTTTGTAATTAAAATGATTGCAATTGTAATTAAAATGATAGAATAATCATGCTAATTTGTTTCATTTTTTTTAACCATTTTTCCATCTTTGGGATGGATAACATTTTTAAAACTCAAGGGAAAATTTCCTTAAATTCTTTCTTTTTTATGGAATAGCTGAAATTTCACTAGCATATATTACAGTGATGTCCAGATCAGATTTCTGCTAAACCAAAGCAATATTTTTGAAAACACATTTACAGAAATTATCTTAAAGTGCTTAAATCTCTGCAGATAGTAAGCACTACTGATTAACTTTCAATTCCAAGTTCCCATAGTTTCCCGCTACGATTATGCCAATAGCCTAATCTAAGTGTGATTTATGTCTCCTACATTCTTTTAAAAAATATTTAGAGTAAAATAATTTTTAAAACATTATTTTAAAATGTATAAATATATAAAATATAAAATAAAATTATTTTATACTTTAATATCCTGTCTTTTCTCTGCAATTTCCAAAAAACATGCAAGGGCATCTATCTCCAAATTTTCTCTCCATAATAACACCTTAAAGGGCTGTTTTGTGCTTTTTTAAAAAACCTTTTGCTCTGCAAAGCTAGCCTCATAGGGCCCAGGAGCATGGGACAAAGGGACATTTGGCAGGCTGTGGCTCCTTTAAGCTACTTTGTGCATTTTTATTTTTTTTTGCTGCTCAAAGCCAGTTTCATACAGTCCAGCAACCAGACCAGGCAAACCTCAGCAGCAGGAGCAAGAATATGATAGCAAACGTGAGAGGGGACAGCAGAGCATAGAGTGGCAAGGTCTCAAAGTGCAGGGTGGTGAAGGCAACTGAGATTGGGCTGGGGTGGGCTGGCACTCTTACTGAGGCTTAGAGCTGGGAGGGACCTCCAAATGGCTTGGACTGGGGTGAATACTCACTTAATGACCTGTAATTCTCAATTAATGAACACAATGGGAGTGCCAGGTTTTCCATTTTAAGTCAGTGCAGTTATGTGATTCTTGCTTTACACCATACCAATTTCCCAGCCCCAATTATGATTGTAAGGTGACTCCCTATATCCAAGCAGCTCCTCCATCCCTCCTCCTCCTCCTCCATCTCACCCTTTCAGAAAAATCTATCATTTCCACAAAAATGATAGATTTCTTTCAAAATGTCACACATTTTTTTTTCATAAACTTCATTGCTGATTCTCCATTATCATCATTCACTAATATATTACCAGTATATTACTCCACTAATATATTTTCTATTGCACTACAATTACTGCTATCTTTATATTGTGCTTTTTCCTGAAGGAGCCCAGAGCAGTACACAGCGGATCTAACTGTCTCAGCTTGAAAAATATAGCAAAACTGTCTTTTCCAGGAATAGGCACACGGTGGCTACCAAATCAAAGCTGGGGCTTCCTAAATACCATTACCAGCTCAAGGATTATACCCAAGTCACGAACAGAATTTTTTGGAAGAAATATATTCATATTCAACTAGTTTTGCAATCATGAAACAGAGACCTACCACTTATATTTTTGGAACAAATTTCAGTTTCTTCATCTAACCAATTAAAAACCTCAGGAGTTTTTACAAATCAATTATATCACCATTTGTTAGCCCTTGCGCAGGACTCTCAGCCATGACATGTATCAGCATGGCAACTACTTTATGGCAAATATCTCTTGAAATCTGCTTTCAAACAGACCTAACTGAAATTTGATCTCTCAGAACACAGATTATTCAGTGGAATACTGAAAACAGCTTTTACATGTTCTCAATCATGTATTTTATGTTCTCAATGGCATATTTTAAAGGCTGTTTATACTGGTTTGCTTCAGATTTATTAGCACAACATCTGCTAACTGGAAATAATAGATAAAAGTGTCTTCAGTACCAATATTTACAAATGATGACCACGTCTGGTGCAAGCCATAAAGTAATGCATCAACTATTTTTGTAAAAACTCACGCTCTTCTTCCTTTGGATCAAGTTGTGTAACACTGACAGATAAACGATCCACACGTTCTTGTAAGGAATTCACTCGGAAAGAAAAACTATGTGCCTCGTTGAAAAGTTCTCCAAAGATATCTTCTGCATATTTACCTGCAAAAGGAAGTTTTTAAAAATAGGGCTAAGAATATGAACGTGCTTCAAAGGACTTGGATTGTTGTATCATACTTTCGTTTTATTTATTTATTTAGTTATTTATTTATTATTTAAATTTATATACCGCCCTATCTCCCTTACGGGACTCAGGGTGGTGAACAGGCAATAATAAAAATCACAATAAATATTGAATAAAAAGCCTGTTGTAAAATACCCCATATAAAACCCCTAGCAAAATACAATCAAAAAATGCAGTCTTAAAAATGTCAAGATAATATGATATCTATATTGGTCTATTGCAGTGATGGCGAACCTTTTAGAGACCGAGTGCCCAAAAACTGCCCCCACCCTCGTCCCCGCTCTGCCCTGCCCACTGGGCTACCCACCACCTCCACAGCCCGCCACAGATCACCCAGGCAGGCCAGCAGCACCATGGCGGCCACGCCCTTCGCTCGTGCCCTGCAGCATCATCTGCGCACAACGGGCGCAAAGGCGGAGTCTTGTCCCTGCTGCCCAGCTACCATGTCCTTGGCTCCACTGCTTCGTGTGGGCCTCGCCCAGGGGCAACTCTCCTCCAGGGGGGCTGCTGGTGAGGAGGGGGCCATGGGAGGAGGCGGGGATGGGGAGACGGTGCATGTGCCCACAGAGAGGGCTCCGAGTGCTGCCTCTGGCACCCGTGCCATAGGTTCGCCACCACTGGTCTATTGCTTTGAAAGCAACAGTTTTGTGGCACTTAGACTAATACTTAGGAGAAACTTCAATAAGTACTTCTTATTGGAGTCCTGTATATAGTCACAAATGAAATGCCCATTAACAGCAGCTTCCTCAGGTCCTTAAGAGCTTGTATGCTTTATTTCATGATAAAAGAATTATCCAATTTTTCTCAATAATTTTCCCGGGTGTTTTTTTGGGTGTTTAAGCATCTGGTGTTTCTTTCCCCCACTGCTCGGAGCTATAGGTATTTAGAATCTGAAACCTGCATAACTGCTATGTATTATAAATGAAAGTCTGTAGAAATGTTATAAATGAAATAAAATGGATTCCAAAACTATTAATCAAGAGAAAGAATGGAATGTTCATGGTAAGATTACTGCAACTAAAAATGCAAGAATATTACCATAGTAATAAAATAGCACTGAAGTATAATTGCTGGTCTATGACCGTAATAAAGTTTATTATTATTATTATTATTATTATTATTATTATTATTATTATTATTATTATTATTAGCACTGAAGTATAGTGGTTACTTATTCATAATTCCATGCACAAATGGATGGAAATACTGAACACCTAGCAGTTTTAAATATAATTATTTTGGCTAATCAGTTAAGTATTTTACTGACGATCCAAACAGAATGCTGAATATTTGAAACCCTATTATAGTTTCTTCTATTTGGAATAGCAATACCACTTAGCAATAGCACTTAAGACTTATATACCCCTTCATAGTTCTTTACATCCTTCTCTAAGAAGTTTACAGAGTCAGTGTATTGCCCCCAACCATCTGGGTCCTCCTTTTACCGACCTCGGAAGGATGGAAGGCTGAGCTGATGAGACTCAAACTTCCAAACTGGTGGCAACCAGGAGTCAGCAGAAGTAGCCTGCAGTACTGCATTCTAACCACTGCGCCACTACGGCTCATGCACAAATATTATTTCTTATATTTGGTTCTTTGTGTTCAACCTCTTCCTGGAAGAATCACTTTGAATGGCTCCTGGAAGAATCACTTCGTGGGCACTCCATCACTGGAGATTTTTTAGAAGAGTCTAGACTCTAGAGTTATTTACCTGTCTGAGACAGTATAGGTTCTCCTGCTTGAGCAGGGGGCTGGACTAGAAGACCTCCAAGATCCCTTCCAGTTCTATTCTATTCTATTCTATTCTATTCTATTCTATTCTATTCTATTCCACTTTGTTGATAAAAAGTCATTTAATGATTTAGTTGGAAGAAAAAAAGATGCAAGAAAATATTTCAATTTTAAGGGGCATTTTTATTTATTGATCTGAAGAAAACCCTTTAACTATTGCAGATTTAAAATAGGCATATGCATACATGTGTGTGCACGCATGCACACAAACATTTTAAAGCAACTATGTCTGGGTTAAAACCCTGTAACTCTAGTCAACTCTAATCAATCTTTTATAATAGATACATATATGATACTTATCACTGGTATTCTCATAATACTGTTCCAAGAAATATTCACACTTTTCACTTGAAGAGTGCCATGTATGGGACAATCTACTTAAGGGTAGTTGAATCCGGAATTTGATATCTTCTCAGGATATTTGAAACTTCAACAACTAATGTAGTCATGAGACTCAAGATGATTATGTTAGAAACTCAATGAATAATCCATGTGATGATATATTTGTTTCACACATGCTGGTCCTTGTTTTAGTTTCCACAGAGAAAGACTTCAATTAAATCTACAAATGCTGCTTAGAATCATACTTAGTGACATTTAGAAGCCTACACAAGTTGGCAGAACATGTTCAAAAATATTAATTGATCTTAACAGCAGCAACAACAAAAACCCTCTAACTATGTGCTTAAATTAATGTAGGTCTCTTCACTAAAAGACAGCCAACCCAGCAGTTTTTTTTCAGAATGCTATCAGGCTGTAAGATTTTGCCTGCAGAGTCCAGCATCACTGTAAGCATAGATTTTTCTAACTGTACAGATATTGTGCATGTATAAAGTGTTCTAAGCGTACAGTATCAATTTCAGATGTTCTGGGCTCAGAATAAAATGCATTTTCTGTCTAAACCTCAATAGATTCCCTGGCACAAAACTGGAAATCAAAAGGAAAAACAAATGAAATAGAAAGCTTACCCAAGCTAATAATAAACATAATATTCACAGAGCATTAACTTGTTTAACGACAACCATGGGATCATTTTTTTATTTCCCCCTTTCTCCTTCATTTACAAATTATTTTACCATTGACTTGATGAATAAAATCATGGCTCAGTATCAGATTATCATGAAGATCAGTTAACAAAATAGGAGAGAGAGGGAGGGAGACAGAGAGAAGCTAGAATAGCCTGGATTTTTTTTTGGGGGGGGGGAGGGAAGCTACTATTTACTTTAATTTGGGAAACAGCTGCTGTGGGGCATCAAGCCATCAATGATATGGTCAATCTTAAATAACTTGCAATGTAAGTTATTTAAAGTTATTTAAATAGCATGCAAGATAAAATAATCAATAGAGAAAATAAAGGCTAACTAAAAGATGGAGAAAATTTAAAAAAAATGCACAATCATAAAATGTCATTAAGGCAAGTACCAGGAAAACATACTTTCAATATTACACAGCCAAAATACAAAATTTTGAAAGCCCTTTATTCAGTAAACTTCAATTATATCTTACGTAGTAAGAGGGCCTTAGAAAGGTATCTAATAAAGATATTATAGAGGGAGGATGCTTTACTTCTGAAGAGCTTTACAGATCATAAGCAATATTCTGAATTTAGCTCAGGAGACCATCTTATGCAGGTTTTTTATGTAGTACAGCTAGACAACCCATGATCCAATGGGTCATCCTTTTAGTGATATTCCCTTACCAATACAGAGAAACTTCTTTGGCACTAAAGGATATTATTTGGAAGATGCAGTTGAATTGATTTATGTTCTTCCTGAACATTTTTGCAATAGATGCATCATTGCAATATAAATTTGGGTGTTTATTAGATAGAGGTTGCAAACTGCCGATCTTAATCTTTCCCTTCATTCATCATTGCTATATCAATTTAGGAGTTTATTAGACAGAGATTGCAAACTGCTTATCCTGATCTTTCCCTTCATATAGCAGAAATTGGCAGTTTCTCCAAGAATAGAAATGCATGACAGAGAGGGCAAACTTTGGCCACGGCAGTCCGAGTCTCATTGGCTCAAGGTTGACTCAGCCTTCCATCCTTCTGAGGTCGGTAAAATGAGGACNGTTTAAGCATGCATAATTTCTATTTTGAATTAACATTTAGTGAGATTAATTTACTACACTTATTACAGTCTCCTTTAGGTCTAGATTTGAAATTAAACCTACTTCGATTTTCTGATGGGTGGAATATGAGGGGGAAAATATTCCAGGAGAATGCAGTGATTATGGACCTATTAATTATGTTTTATATGCTCACACACAATATATATATATGCGTACATATTATATATACACACATATGTATATGTATACATGTATTATGTGTATTCTCATACTCACAATATACATAAAGAAAACTACACATAATACATTTTGTTAAATACATGGTATGGGAGAATAATGCATCTTTTTAAAAAAAAATAATGAACATGATGAAATAGGATTCAGGATAAAGCCACACAGATTTGGCCATATGAAATTTACCTTTAAAATAAATTAATTCTTAATAAATTAAATACTTACTTAGACTGCTTAATTGTCTTATTATATTTGCCAAGGAAATATTAGTAACACATTCCAATTCATTCTTGATGCCTCGTGGCAGAGCTGTATGACAAAGATATCTAGGGTCTATGTTTCTTTTTACCAGTGGCATTCTGAAATATCAAGCAGCTACCAGTCCTGTGAAGAAACAGAAGAGTAAATTAAAATATAATTCAGAGTTGCTTGTTTCCAAATAAGATGTACAAAGGATGACAAACATTTGAAAATACAATTAAGGCACCTATGAAAAGCAGTATAGTCAGATGCAAAATAGCTCAAAGCTCTTGTATTTTCCCTACTTATTTGGAAATTTTATTTAGTGCTTATATGATAAATTTCCTCACAGAACTATTGAAACTATAGAAACTATAGAAATCTTGTACTGTAGTGCACTGAGCCTCTTTACTATTCATTCATTGGTTGTGAAGCCGGGAGTTCTTATATGTTATAGTTCTACCAATTGTGCCAGATGGTATAAACCAATTTTTCCAAATTTGAATTTCTCTAACCGCCTGCATTATGGCATTTTAGCTAAAATCATATGGGATGACAGAAGATGTAACCCAAAACTTCTGGAATGATCTAAACTGAGAAATGCAAATATATTCTACCATCATGTGTTAAAAATGATGGGGAAAGCGAGTACTTGATTTTAAGGGACTATAAAACAGGATGTAGCAAATATACAGTCATCTGGAAAATAAAGTACACCCCCTTTGAGTTTTTACATATCAGGATATAGTAAAAATCATCTGGTTCTTAGCAGTTATTAAAAGTAGGTACAATCTCAGATGAATGACAACATATAACATATTACACCATGTTATTATTTATTTTACCAAAAGAAAGCCAAAATGGAGAGACCATGTGTGAAACCAATATACCAGTTATTCCATGAAAATAGGACAATACTAATAGATTGCAAAGAAATTATATACAATTCCTATTTTGGTCCAATTTTTCCAAGCATAAGGTACATCAGTCAGTTGTGAAAGGGCAGGAGTGAAACTTAAGTTTCATAATTAATATCTGTTTATTTTTTAGTTTAAATCTCCAGGTTCATAAAATTCCATCATAGAATACTAAAGAAACTAAACCATGGTCTAATGGAATCATTAGGAATTATATTTTGAAAATTATAAAAAAAGGCAGGGCTTTTTTTTCTCATAGAACGCCCAGAACGGAGTTCCAGAACCTTTTTTGGATGGAACCTTGTAGGGTAGGCAAGGCGAGTTGTATGACGTGTGTGAGTTCCGGCACCTTTTTTTTTTTTTTTTTTTTTAGAAAAAAAGCACTGAAAAAGGGTAAAAGTTGCAGGAATGTTGTCGGAGGAGGAATGTTGTCCATTCTGGGAAACTAAAACTTAATCAATTTGACACCAACATCTGAGCAAATTTTAGAGCAAATCCTAAAGAGATTGACCTTATTTATAAACAATGTTTCTTACATTTTTTTCCCCAGGGCCACTTTCCACTTTTAAAAAATCTGGAGGACCCCAAAAGAGCATTTGTTTGTATTAGTTATACTTATCAACATTTATCATATTAAAATTTTAAAATGTCACATTGCTACTGCTTGTCACAATTGTTTAATGGGATTTTAATACTGTATTACTATATTATTTTTCAATATACTGTAGGTTGGCAAATAATTTAGATTTTGTGGACCGTTGTAATTGTCTTGAACCACCCAGGGATCTTATGACCACACTTTAAAAAACACTTTTATAAACATGTAGTATTTACTAGAAGTCACCCTATATTTGTAAAGTGCAAGTGTTGCTAGATTAACATTTTTGTTTATGTAACTTCCTTAGTAAAGAGAGCCAGTGTAATGTAATGGTTAAAATGATGAACTGCTACCTGGGAGACAAGATTCAAGTTTTTCCTCAGCCATGGAAATGGAAACTCACTGGAGGACTTTCAGCCAATCACTCTTTCAGATCAACATATCTCATAGAGCAGGGGTGTCAAACTGCCAGCCCACAGGCCGGATGTGTCATGCGGAAGCCGCGCCCACCCCATTGCCAGCAATGGCAAAACTCTCCCGATAAGTTGCGTGACGTCACGTGATGTCGCGAGTTTGACATGTCTGTCATAGAGTATTATTTTGGTGATAAAAAAGGGAGTTCCTGGAATAGTAATTAACTGCAAACTGAATATGAACTAGCATAAACAGGCAGGTCCAATTTTAAGTGGTATCAACAAAAATATAATTTTCAGATTATGGGAAATAATCTTTCCATTTTATTCTGTTTTGGTAAGACTATTATGAAGCTCTATAGTTTAAGAGGATTCAGTCCAGGCAAGTGAGGATGAACAGGAGACAAGAATAAATGCTACAAAGAGAGCCTGGATGGTTAGCATTCAGAGGAGAAAAATCGAGGGAGAATGAAATAACATCCTTCAAATAACTGAAAATATATCATGCTGAAGGTTAAGAGCTGTTTTTCATTATTTCATATTGTAAAATATGAAATAGTGGATTTAGCTATCACGGAGACAAATTCCAGCTGGAAAAAAAGAAAACCTTTTCAACATGAAAGAAATTGGCAATAAAACCACGTATTTAGTGAAATAGTGGGCTTCTCTTCATTGGAACAAATGGAGGCTAGAAATGCTTTAATTTGGATTTCTGCATTGGTCTTAATAGTCTAAATGGCATGTTTTACCTGTAAGGTTCTAAATAACTACCAATTTCTTAAATAAAAAAGTGAAAAATACAGAAAATAATTTTCCCATCGTACAGTTGCTCAGAGATAGCAAAGAATATATGGAAAAGAAAAGATAAATCAGTGGCAGAAAACCTGTTGTAAAAACAGACATTTTAGATTTATCACTTAAAGTCTCCACTGAAAATTATTAGATAACACACAATGATAAATGTAGATATGGTAGCAATTTATCATGCTTATTTGCAAATACATTAACATTGACTCTAATGCTTGCATGAGAAGCTCCTGAATGATAACATGAGATTAAATTTTCATCTCTAACAAATTAAGAATTTGAAATCAGGCTGCAGTTGATTCACTGGTCTTTTAATAAAAATATGTGGCATTATACCACGTTTGTCTGTATGTGTATATGTGAAATTTCTATACTAGAGAATTGGAAAATTTGTCTAATAGGGAGGGATTTAAATACTTGGTCGCTGAAGGTTTGACATCTGATTTAAGTACAAATAATGTTTAATGATTAAATAGGTAGAAGGACAAGTGTAATCCCATCTATAAGTAAAATTCCTATTCTCTGAACTGTGAAAATAGCCACTCATTGGACATCGTGCTATCATTATTTTGGCCTCATCCAGCCCATGGCAGCACCAAGAGATCCTAGAATCTCAGACTCTCCTAATAAACATTACATGATACTCTGCATCATCTGATAACTGCACCTATAGTACCTACATACATTAAATAGTATTGAGGACAAGAAAGAAGTTCTTTTTTAAAATAAAAATCACTCACTACTATCAATTATCAATTGTCCCTGCCAGTAGTACTGGAAGTTCAGTAGAAAAGTGCCCTAAACTTTAATTCTCAGAAGTAATCTGTGATATGATACTATGGTCAATGATATCAAAAACAGCTGAGAGGTCAAGTAAGTGTAGCAGGACTGCATTTCCATTATTCTTCTCCAAAGAAAAGTCACAGCAAAGGCCTGAATAAAGGGGTTGACAATACTGTTTCAAGCTGAAAAGCAGATCTCTGCCTATATGGAAATAGGTTTAGAAAAGCTGTACTGCCAACACAGTTTCCAATATCTTCTCTAAACTGGGTTGTGGGCCACTGGTTTCTGAGCAGAGAGCAAGATTTTTCCGGAAGGACTACATGGCCATCAAAGAGTTGAATTTCATAAATGATTCAAAATGTTCATCATTCGATTGGGAAATCATATCTATTTACTATTTGCCTGGAACCAGTGGTGGGATTCAGCCAGCTCGCACCAGTTTGGCAGAACCGGTAGCTAATTTTTTTGTTGCCCAGGCCCAGAATGGACTTCTGGAAGCGGCATCCAAACAAAGAACCGGTTGCTCACATATTTGAATCCCACCACTGCCTGGAACCCTTTTTTTCCACTCCAGTATTGACTTGAAAAACTAATGCAAATTGTAGATGCATGGAGTCTGACTTGTAAAGTCAACAGAGCACACAAGATTGATCAAAGAGGCTATGAACATTTTATGCCTGTAATTTACCAGAAGAGGTATATTTGATAAGGAATATGTCAACAGTAATATACATACGTACGTTCTCAGAATATAAATAGAATTTTTAAAAATCTACACTCTCCTGTTTCTGAACACCTTGCTTTTCAATTTCAAAATTATTACATACTACAATTTTAAATTACATTTACAATGTTCATTTCAAATGTATTCTAGAATTTATATTTTCTTTAAAAATCTATAAAAACACAGCAAAATGCATTGTATTTCATTAATCGCAAAGCTGAGCATTTATTAATCTTTATAATCTTGGAAGAAATCCACAGAATAATGATTTCTTTGGGGACTCATAAATCTGTTTGTGTACATGTGTATGTGTGTTGTGTGCCCATGACTACTATTTCGCTAAGGCCCTGCAATTTTCTTGGCAACATTTTAGCAGTAGTTTGCCCTTGCCTGTTTCCTAGGGCTAAGAGAGAATGACTGGCTCAAAGTCATCTAACTGTCTAAAGATGGACTAGAACGCACAATCTCTGGTTTCTAGCCTTGTGGTCTTTATCTACTTACACGAGATTGGTTCCCAATTCCTAAATTCATGCTACCATATATGCAGAAGAAATGGCTATGTTCAAAATAAATAAATGAGGGAAAATATGACTATACAGCTCATGGCATTAGCCTATTGTGGCATTTAAATGGAAAACTAATGAAGGAAATAATACATTGCATCAGATATTTAAAAATAGAATGAGTGCTATCATGAAGGTATTATTTCTAATTATTCCAAGAATGATTCATAATTAATAATACTTCAGACTTATTTAATAAATCAATAAAAATGGCATAATTTACTATATTAAATCTTTTCAGCCAATTTTTCCCTTTCTTATTTATACAAAGCCAGCCGTGGTTAATCTCTCTTTATATTATAGGAAAGCAGCTGCTCTGAAATTAGAATTATT